TAAACTTGCCTGCTCTGTAATTTCACCGCTTTTATCTGCTCATCAGGATATTTAGAGTCGGTTCTGCTTCATCAAACTCGTCGCTCTCTTTTGTTTGAAGACAGTTTTAACAAAACCAGATTCAAGCGAGGAGACGCCGCCTCCTTTTACACAGAATTACAAACACGCCAAAGCAGCATGTGACGGGGCAAAAGTGTGGCCAGCGGTGTGCACCCGAGTGAGACAAAATCCAGCGAGATAGTAAATCACTGGTTGTGGCTCCTGGGCTGAGAGGACCGGCGGCGGTTACACCGTCGAGCGGCATCACGGATGAGGCTCTGCATTGGCGGCGAGCTGAGAGTGCGCTTGAAGTGATGAATAGTGGAACCCAAACACACAACATATCTGGGCACATCCTGTCTCGCTTAGTAAGCAGCCAGGGTTTGGTCTGCCGGATAAAACAGATTCATCTTCTCAGCCCGGAAGCAAAGCCCTCCTGTTTTTCTTGAGGTCTTCAGGAGTTTCTGTTCAAACACAAACAGAGTCTGCGCCCTTTCAGATTGGAGAACCTTGTGTTGTGAGAAACACGTAGACGGGATGTGACACTTGGAATGATGCTTGAGGGACTTGTTTTTTGCCGTTTGGGAAAACCTTCCCATGGTTGGAACAATTAATTTTGAAATCCTCCTTCAACTGAAACATGAAACAATCGAAAATCTTCCTCTTAACAACCGCTGCAGATGTCCGGGACTAAACCTGAGTTTAAGGTTGGATGATGCCTGGAGATATTGAAGCGTTATCCAGATTGTTGTCGCACAGACATAGTGACCATGACCGTCCATCCTTGGGGAGTCATTTCACTTTGCTTCTGTGAAATGACTCACATTGATTATAATGCTTGCGGATTTGATCCGCCGGCGGTGCCGGAGCGGAGCCATTCTGGACCCTGTGGGTTTTGGCCATTAGGGTGACCATACATCCCCTTTTACCTGGACACGTTCTCTGTTTTGGGGGCTGTCTGGTCTTGTCTGGGGGAGTTTATAAAATCCTTCAAATGTCAGTGGTTTTGTATGGAAGTTTCAAGTTTGTGTTACGTGGCCTTACTGAGTTAGAAGCACGTAAAAGACACTCGATCCAACCCTGAAACCTCTCAAAATTAACTTTGTGCAATTCCGTGACCCCGCTCTCATGTAGTCGTGTCGTCTTTTCAGAATATGGTTACCTTAAGTAACATAGGAGCTATTCAGCTAATGTCATTAGCGATATGATGAAAGTTAATATCACAATTAACTTTCTTACGAGCATTGCAATCCGCTAACCTACACGCTTGTTCCGGGATTGTCCTCTCTACTTCTCTGAGTCTGGCCTGCATAGCAGGGCTTCGGGGGCGGAGCTTGGATTTGTGACATAGGAAATCTCACTGTGTCTGAGCCTGCTGTTTGAGTCTGCCAGAGATTCACAGAGACTTGAATGCAGAAATACTCAGAAATGCAATTTCGCACTTATTTTTCTTATGATGTGTCCTGTAGCATCAGAAAAATGAACATGTGGACAACAAGAAAAACATGATTTTTATCAGAATGGGTCTTTAAAGGGGAACGCATTACAGGGGAAGAAACACCAGAGCAAAAATTGTGCCAGGCAGCCCAGCTCCGCCCATAAATTTCTTAAACCAAAGCTTTAAAATTAGTTTAAAAGTTCAGTCTGAACCTTTTACTTCCTCTTGGTTCACTGTGTAAAGGAACAGTGTTATAAATGAGGATAAAAAGGCGGCCCCTATCTAACGCTGATACATGGGATTCAGGGTTTAGACTCCTGCTCTGACTGTGCGTCTCTTTGAGGAAATATAAATGAACATAAGAAAAGTAAATTTTGCCGAAGCTGTCACAGGGGATTAAACAGTATGATACACAAATATGACAAATATGTGATAACAGTGACAGAATGGAATTAGAAATGTTGTACTCCGTTCAGAAAATGCCTTTTTATATCGCACCAATACCCACCCTGCTGTCACTCTGATCGTTTCAGTTCTTGGCTCTGCACAGGAAATTAGAGGAGAGCTCTGAGTGCTTTCGAGAACGTATCATCGTAATTTCACTGTCCATTTTCCTCGTAGTACTATTATATCAGAATTAACAATAACCTGCAGCGTGTAGCAGCTAAGAGCAGAGCAGAGTTATTATCATACTCTATTAAATGGCCGCCAAAGCACATGGACCATCTTTTTAAAGCCTGTAAGTGCAAATCATCGATCGTGAAACACAACCTTATGACTGCGATCTGGGAAATTAACGCCTTCATTCTTATACATTTATGTATTTAATCACAGCTTTAACTTTAAATTCTCTACTTTAAAGCCCCTGTAAGGAACTTCAGGTTTGTCTTATTTTTGGCGCCCCCCTGTGGACAAAGCCCACTCGTCCTTTGACATTCAAGTCCATCATTTATTGTGAATATTTTTTGTAATAGATAAAAGCAGATAAAACCCTTCGCACTACTTTCAGGCTTTAAAAACTACTAAATATAAACTATTAATCTTAATTCCTTTAAATCCTAAAAAGACATTAAAATGAATTAAAATGTCTATCTCATCAATTAAAAAAAATAAAAAATACGTAAAAAAAGACTCACTCCAGTCTTGTTAATTCATAACTTGATTAATTTATAGATTTAACCCCAAAAATGTATAATCTTAGACTTAATAGACTTGCAAATAAACAGGTTTATTGGAGTAAATTAATAAATTTAAATCCAGCTCAAACCACACTTTTGTTTATCTTAATTTTTCTTGAAACTTTTCACAAAAATTCTTGTTAATTTTTCTACTTTTTCTCGTAAGATTTTATTATCATATCATAACCATTTGGCTTGAGAAGAGTTATTTAAATCTGCTTTAAGAGCCTCTTATTTCCTTCACTCTCACATCGCTCCTGTTTCCCCCTTTAAGATACTTACCTTATACAAAACTACGGTGGCCCTAAAGGTTGATAGAATGCTTATTTAAGGAAGAAAATGGATAAAAACTTAATTTAACACAAAAAAAGATTCATGACACTCAGAAATATTTCACTATCTAACCCTAATTCCCACATCTCCACTCATTCCCTCTGACATTTACGAGTTTTTTGAGTCTGCGTGTTTTCAGTAAAGCACCAGAACAGACAAGGAGCATCGATGTGGCGCAGACACCGGGCTGATTCTGCAGATTTATTCAGACTGAGTTGAAGAACGTCAGCTCGGAGTTCTGTTCTCACTTTTAATGAGATGATGAATTGTGTTCTGGTTTGTTATTTTAACGGCCATATGGCTCTCACTCTGGAGTTCATTAATTTCACATCTTCGGAGAGGTGGGCTCGCTTTAAACCGAACAAATTGACATCAGAATCCAGCAGACTTAGAGACTTTGTGTTTTTAGCCGTTACTCCAACTTTCCTCTGATTCAGATTTAAAGTTTCTCGAACCCTGCTTATGTTTGATGCATGATTTCCTCTCCGTCTCGGTGTCCCTGGGAGGAGGGTCTGAGGGAGCGTCTCTCCGACTCAGATGTGTGCGAGTTTATCAATCTGAATAATCTGATGTGAGGGGGTGTCACTGTCAACAATCGCTGCAAACATGTAATGAATGCAGTTTCATAAACTGGATGTGAACCCCCCTCCCCCCATGAGGCCTCTGCGAACGACGTACATTATCTTACTACCCTGCAGTCTGCTCTCTTGGCTGCCTCATCAAACTGCGCCATTATCCTGGATCAGCGTGTGCTACATGGGTAGATAAGAACAAGTTAATGGTACTGCAGTTATATACAGCCGGAGACAGACAGTAAATTGTCCCCAGCAGCTGCATTAAATCAGCTTCTCTCAACAGATCGCCGTCCGCTTCACTTTTACCTCGTGTATCAAGTCTTCTCAGCGTGGCGCCTCATCTCCCTTTTAAAGCACCTCTCCCTCGTCCTCTGTGGGGTTTTCTGAGTCCTGCAGCACACTTCCCTAAACAGCACACTGCATGGATACACTCGGTAGGAGATCCTCTTTCTAATTATGTAAATGAACGTACTTTATTTTGAGATTGAATGCTGATAGTGAACTTTCTGAGTTTTTTTTTATTTTGGTAAAACTTGATTCTGCTCGCTCGGAAGGTCAGCCTCTTTTTTTCATTAAATGTCCGGCCTTGAGGTATTGCCGAGCGAGTATAATCACTATTCTGCATTAATATGCTGATCAAATGCCGGGTTTCCAGGCGTAGACGTGGCTTTTCATCCTCGCCTTCCTGCCCCCACATTTCCCATCAAATATTTAACATCAAATATGCGCGAGCATCATCAATGCAGTTTTGGGCTCACTGTACCTGCTACAGGGTAACTTTCACACACATCACACAGAGAGGTGCGCATCCTGATGGCCCATTTGAGCATGAAGAGATGGCTCCGGTGGTTCCGCCCGGCTGCAGACATCATCTACAATCTGTTTGGGTCGAGGTGTTATGCATCATAAATGCTCTCTGCGGAGGGAAATTACCTCCTGCTTTAGGAGTGCTTTACATCCTCCCTGCAAAAACATGTAATATCCCTATAGTGACCTTTTTATTCTCAACAAAGTGGGTACGAGTCATTACAGCTGTAATGGTGACCTTTTTATGCATGTCTACCCCCGTTTTGCAGGAGCGTGAAAAAACCCGCTCTATCTCCGTGTTTGTCCTGCGACGCTGATGCAGTCAGAACAAGCGCATCGTACCTCGCAGCATCACTGTCATACTCATAATCAGAGTTAAACATGTTTCCCCACATCCCTGCTCATAGGGGAAACTTCGCCAGCCGTGGAGAAACAGTTTGACACGGAGTGTTTCATCTGTTTGTTAGATTATAAAGGTAACGTCTGCATGAAAAATTTAAACCCTTTCAAGTGAACATTTCAATCGCAGAATAAACCAGGCTTTAAAGGGATATTCAGGTGTAAATTTAAGTGATAGTCAAACACACGTAACACTGAGTTAGACACCCTGTCGACTGATGAATGTTGACGACCGCTTGCTTCTCTAGTTATACCAACTTTAGTAACGACCGCAGGATAGCAATACACAGCGGTCTGAGGAGCCATAAACAAACCTCAACCAAAACGCCACTCTATAGCCACAAATAATGCTCGGAACAGCACCTAACTTCATCAACAGGACATATAGGGTCACAGACATAGTACTAGCCACCAAACATCTTTTTAACTTTGACTCATTTCTTTAGCAAAGAGACTAAACACAACTCACCTACTCTCTTCCAGCAGCCGCTTGTTTGTAGCGAGACCTCAGGCCAGTCCATTACGGACTACAGCGGGGTTTCGCAGCTCAAGGAAGAACATCTATGACCATTACTTTATCATTTTCCTGAAGTAATAATCATCATATTTATCGTTTTTCACTGCAGACGCGGTAGTTCTTCTGTCTTAGCGTCTCGGTCTGATTGTATTTCCATGAAGTAATGATAATAAATGTTCTTCCTTGAGCTGCGAAACTCCGCTGCACTCTGTGATCAACTCGTCAGGGCTCCCCCACAAACAAGCAGCTGCTGGAAGAGAGTGGGTGAGTTGTGTTTAGTTTCTTTGCTAAAGAAATTAGTCACGCAATCGCAAACAATAACACGCCACTCAAATTATTTCACGCCACCTACCTCTCTTCGCCTACCAAGGGTGCAAACTGGATCCAAAAAGCCTCTTGTACCCAACCCAACTGGTGTGTGATGTCACTATTTAACTGGTGTGTTTGACCATGTCTTAGATTTACGCCGGAATATCCCTTTAAAAACACTGATCACAGGGCTCGTTTGAATATCTCTAACCTTCAGCCGAACCATTAGGCCTGATTTGAAGACAGGAACAAGCTCTGGGGAAACCCTGCACTGATCCAGGATTTGTGTTTCACACACACAAATCTCAGAGCAGTGATGACTGTCATCCTGAAGGTCAAGATTCTCAATAGCCCGTCTTCAGAATCTGAGATAGCCGCGGTTCGAGGAGATGGAGATAGAATAAGAAAAAAAAATGATTAGAGTGGAATCTGGCATTTTCTAGATGAATGCACTTTGGCACTCAGAGGCTGATTGTGAGTGACACTCTATGACCAGTCCTGGGCTTTCCGAGCATCTGTGCTGTCTCACACACACACACACACACAAACACACACATATGGGTATGGAGTGTGTTTGGGTGAGCTGGGGAATGGGGGTCCAGGTTGTGTTATTCTTCAGCTGAATAACTTAAAGCTCAAAGAAGTAATCCTGGCGTTTCTTCTCTGTCAGGTGATTTAACACCCCCCTCCGGCAGCCATATTGGATCTCCTTAGCGCTCAGCTTCAGTGGGTTTGTAACAGCTGATTGTGTATCTAAACAAAGCGACAACTGTGTTACCCTGAGTGAATCTATTAGTCATGGGAGCTGAATTTGTTCCTAACAAATTTGATTGATCCAGACTTAGCATGATGGCAGTGTGTTTAATTTGTCAGTTAACATCACTCTCTCTCTCTCAATAATCAGCGCTGCCAAATCTGTTTAGTGTGTTCGTTTGTTTTTATGAGCGCCACTTACACTCAGATTTATGACGATTTCTATTTAATTTCAGAAAAAAAATGTGAACGGTCCCCTTTGGATCCAAGACAAACAAAGCTAACAGCCTGCAGACTGGGCTAATTATTACATCAAAAGAGTGGCAGTATTTGCTGTAGTACTGCTACATTATTGATAATGAAGGGTTTGTGTGTTTTTTGTTTTTTTCTGCAGTTGGAAAGCCTCAGTGCTGAAAACACTCGTGCAGTCGTTCAAGTCAAACACTGATGAGCAGATGTAAATAATGAGCTGCAGGGAACGACATCCCACGGAAGAAACGGCTCATAGAGAGTAGAGAAACAACACAACACCTCTTCTATTTGCTCATCATTTAACATTTACCTCATATCTGAACACTTAAGTTGCTTTTTTTTTAATTAAAGTTTGCTAGTCGTTGCATTAGTTTGAAAACTTGCACACCAGGTCAGATTTTTTAATAATTAGACTGACTGTAGATGATGTGGTTGGATGTTGATGGAAAAATATGACCTGGGAATTTGGGTTCACTGGGAGGATGAGCTCACTGTGACACTGGAACTACGCAGAGAGAGGATATAAGTATTATGTGAACTGAAAACATGTTCAGGTGTTACTTGGTTTAAGTTGTCTGACTAAATATGGACTCTGACGCCCCTCGATCCCGGACCACTTTGTTGTATCTACTCGATGCATTGTTTGTGCTCTATGAGAGATCGATCTTCTCGTGCAGATGTAAGGCAGTGACCTTAATAAATCAGTAGATGGCGCTGGTACATTGTTTATGCACTTAGGTGTTGCACGATTGTTGCCTTCGCCTTTTACGGACGCCATGTTTTCAGTTATTTGCTCTGCATGGCCGCCAATTTGTCTCAGCGTTTGTTAATGGTTTGTAAGGTAAGCAGCACCATAGATAACTCTCCACATCATAGTCTAATATCTTGACCATAAACAGTTAATATGCTACTGGCCTTAAATGATGTATGTGATGAGACGTTTGTTTACCATTTTTACCAAGTCGTAGGATTTTGTAACGCAGTTTTATGCGAGTATGTCGACAATAACTATGGTTAGCTTCGTGTTTATCTACCTGTGGATTTTCTCTTATGCTCTGAGTTTGGAGCTGAACCTGTTTTTAGGGGTTTAGTATGTGTGGCGGTACATCGCTTTATTTTGAATACAGTATAAGTACTTTTATATGACTTATCTTTACTGACTCTCAGTATTTGTTTATGGTTTGTAAGGAGCCGCCAGCACCCACACTCATTAAACCAGGCGGTCTCAGCTGCGATCCTGACTATCCATGTGTCCGATTCATCCCTCGCACTGCGCAGAGTCTCGGTTGTAGGGCGGCGTAACACGTGCTGGGTTACACATGCGAACCTCTCAGTTGGACCCAAACTGGCCAAGGCGTTCTGTGCTCTGACCCTGAAGACCAACTGGAAAAATGCATTCAAGCAGTTAGCCTTTCGCTGATGTGCTTGTCGATTGTTTTGGTGCGTGATGCTCGAGGTCGTCATGAAGGCGATGATGTAGTTTCTAGCTGAGGAGGACTCGCAGTACTCTCTCTTCTGGTGCTTTTATACCGGGTCAAGGACTGTAGTCCAGATAACTTGAAAAACATGACTATTTATGAGCTGTTTCTTTTCATACATATGTATTAAGTATGCATTTTCTATATTTTTGATTATGCAGCTGGACCGTAATGGTTATGTGAAGCCTGTTAGGTTTGTGAAGGACAGTCTCAGTTCATACAGTCCTTCACAACAAACCTGGTTAGAAAGTTTGATAAATGACTGAGAATAACCCCGAAAAACAGAGATCCCATCCTGTCCACGCTGACAACATAAAAACATCATGTCTCCAAAGATACAGTATTATCATTCAACTACATCTCCCATGAGTCTCGGCTGTAATAATACTGTTTGCTCGCTTTATAGCGCTCGCTGTGTGTCACCTCTCAGCGGTTGATAGGAAAAAATCAAACATGACAGCACTCTTTTGGGTGTTTTTTTCTGCTCCGGCTGTTTGGACAGATTTTCAGTGGACCTCCATGATGTTGTCAGAAGTGTCTGCCTGGAGATTTATGATGCAATCGCGGCGTCTCTGAGAAAATGTGAGCACTGCGAGCGCCGAAGACATCATTTAGCTCAAATTTCTCAACCTTCTGTGCCAATAAGAGAAAGTAATTGTGAAACGTCTGAATATATCAACCTTTTAGCTCATCAAAGTAATACAGATGGCCTCGGCTGCTTCATCCTGGTCTGTGGAGATAAGATATTTGAAATCGGGATCTGATTGGAGAGCACATGTGCTGCTATTGTAGTCTGCGGTAAGAAACAAAGGTTTTCTGCAGAGCGGTCGGGCTGCTTTTGTTCCCTCTGCAAAGCTCTCGTTGGCTTGACCTAAGTCAGGGAGACATGTTCACCTCCTATCCTCAGTACCTATTTCTGGATGACTATAACTTACTCTGACATTGCTGGGGGCAGCTCTTCCTCTGTATTACTCACAATAGAAAATCTCACTAATGTATTTTGGCTGTTATTTATCTCAGGCAGGAAACACAATAACAATTCAGAGGACCAAAAAAATACTGAAAACAAAAGATTTGGGACCATCGGAGTTGATCATTTAGCAAAATGAAAACCATTTAAAAAAGCCTTGAGACATATTTATACATCTCATCTGTTGTGAAATAGTTTAATACGTCTCATCTGTATTTTTAGAAAGTGAAATTAAACATTGAAAAGGTGTTTTTTTGTTTTAATTCAGCTAATCATGGTCAACAGCTCCAAAAAATAAAAAACTCATCACTCAAATCGTCTGAATATTTCTGACTTCGAGTAAATCCTTATCCAAATCAGTTTTCGTCTGTTTATTAACCAGTCTGTGGTCTTCATAGAGATTTTAAAGCACCTAGTCTGCTCATGTCTAAAGGCTCATTTACTGTATGCTCAACGTTACATATGGATCTGAAGACGAACCTCTCTGTCTGTGTTTCGCGTTCTTTTCGTCCGTATTTCTTCACGTATCTTTGAAGTTTATGGATACGGTCCAGACGGAGCAGTACCATCGGAATCCTCGGGGGCAGTGTTGCTGCTGTCACCACCCGATAAGCATCTCTAATAAGTTTATTTTTCTGATGCTATAGGACATATCAGGAGAAAACTAAGTGTGAAATTGTATTTCTTAGTATTTCTGCATTCAAATCACTGTGAATCTCTGGCAGACCCAAACAGTAGGCTCAGATTCAGTGAGATTTCCTATGTCACAAATCCAAGCTCCGCCCCCAAAGCCCTGCTATACAGGCCAGACTCTGAGAAATAGAGAGGATGATCACGGAACAAGTGTGGGTGTTAGCGGATTGCAATGCTTGTAAGAAAGCTAATTATGATATTAACTTTAATCATGTCCCCAAAGACATTAATGTCTGAGAGCTGAATAGCTCCTATGTTACCTGCCACTTCTACTACACCGACAATGTTAGACTGCAAGCTAGCATGAAGAGGAGCGTGAAGAGCAGCGCTGTCTCCGCCCACAACTCAGAGGTGAATTACTTATGAGTGACTGGAGCTTTGCAGAAGAAATGACAGGTAATGGCTAAAAACTTCATTACCACAATTTAAAGACCGCTGAGAACACTTAAAGTTATAAAATGATCTGAGTAGGACTTTAAAGGTCTCAGTGGTGGTCGCCCTTATGCCAACCAGAACAGCGATCTAAGCCCTGATGCCTTTAATCGATCTCTTCTCAGATACTGGATTTCTGATTTTCATGAGTTTTAA